CCCCCCCCCCCCCCGCTCCGCTGCCAAAGTTGTTTGAACGAACGCTTTGTACCTGTTGCAGCAACTGTCAAGGCGGGCATGGCATTTCCTGCCGTTGCTTCGGTCGCCGTCATCTTCGCCACCGGCCCTGCTGTTGACTCTCCAGAGTGTCTAGGCGGTTTCGCGTTGCCCGTCCAGTCCGTCAGCCACAAGGGAAGCTTTCTGGTCGCTGTCAATGCCATCAAGCCCCCGGGCCCGTCGTTGTGGCGCCGCTTCATCGTCAAAGCCGTCCTCTTTCTCCGGAGCGTGAGAGCTTGCAGCTCCTCCTTTCGCTTACGCTTGGTCGCACGGTCCTGCACAAGTGTCGATTGAAACTGTCAACGAAACTATTGCTGGAACTTTACAGGCGTTTCGTGTCCGAAGCAGGCCAGAGAAACGGCTTTTCTCCCGCTCCGTTTCGCTTTCACTCGTCCGTCCCTGCCCTTGTGTTGTAATATAAGCTCGACAGAGAAAAAACTTTCCAGCAAATATCCCGATAATCAGCACAGAGGTATGAGTCGTAGCTTAGCGCGTCCTACTGACCTCGTCTTTATACAACATATTGTTGTTGTTTCGGGGCTCTTCGATAACAGTGTCACCTCTTCGCGCTGAATATGAACGAGCACGGCTGCTACCCTCGCCACAAGCGCTTCTCCGTCCGGCGTGCTGAGATACTCCAGTAGCTCTTCGCGCTTTGCGGCGCCGGCCTCCTGCACGGCCTGGTTTCGTCAGGCCGTCGCCAGGTGGCCAGCAAAATTGTGTTCCGGGGGAGCAGAGAGAGTTGCAGAGAGTGTTGCAGGGCAGGGTTTGATCCTATCCAGTTGGTCTTGCTTCTTCTCATACGATCTTGTTCGGCACGTGGTGGTGTGCTTTTGCGTCTCCGAATGTTGTGTTCTTGGGGGCGGGGACTGACATACTCCCACGCCTCGTCCCATGCCGACCTCTGCAGTAGATGTGTCTATAACGAATTTATCACGGCCTCACAATTGACGTACAGTCGTCCCCGCTTTATGGACACCAAAGTTGAGGAGCATACCAAGGGTGCTACTGTTTCTGAAGCATGGTTGAGCCACCAAAACACCCTTCCAGCTGACACTCGGCGTTGCAGCCGGCATGGTCAGTGATGTTATTTTAGAGTTGGGCACTTCAACCCCACCCTGGGAGTGTGCGATATTTCTACGTGCACCGCGGGACAGCTCTCTATGCTGGACCTGAACAACCCAGGGAGAAAGGCCCGTAGGCGGTCACCGTAGGTCGTCACCGAATCGGAGACCAGATGGCAAGCAAGAGGAAATCGCATGGTTGGGTGAGGGGTCAAACCCCCCTCGCAGTAACTGTGTGCCTCGCCGCCTTCCCCGATCCGGCCTGTACCTACGTGGGCGGGTGGGCCGCAACGAACGTTTGTCTAGATGCACACGGGGGAGGGGAATACGAAGGCATTCAATGTTGGACGACACCTAGAAAAGCCATGCGACCGGCACAACAACACGTAGGGAAAACCGCCACGTAAAACGAGAGAACTCGGTTGTCTTATCTTAACAAACTTCCGAGAATAGGACGTAAATCTCGCCCTAGGATTCAACTGCTGGATAGAATGCCACTATCAGTTCCAATGTGACAGAACGCAGACCACTCCTAACCTCGTCCTCCCGTAGCTGCCTCTGCCAATCCCCTACCCTACGCTCTTCCACCCGAGCCCGGTCCTCCGCGAGCTTGTTTGCCGGCGCCCACACGCCTCGTCGCGTCCAAACCCCGGGGACACGCCGTACGCCGTCGCTCCCGGTGGCTCCTTCCATCGCCTCCTCTTCTGCTGCATCCACAGTAGCAGCGCCAGTGTTGACGGCGGTAGCAGCGGTGGTGCTCTTCGCACCGGGCTTCCTTTCTGAGCCCTTGTCCTCACCTGCTGCTCCTCCCGACTTTCGGCCGTGCCCCCGTCCCTCTCCTTCCCCCTTCCCTCGGGTCCACAACGCCGACGGCAATGCTGGCTGCGTGGGGCGCTCCCTTTGCCGTCGCAACCGTCGAGGTGGACTATTGTCGACCCCTGCCTTGCCTCCCCCTGACACCGGGCTCCTGACCCCCGATGTCGCCACGGCGGTTGGCTGTTCGGCATGGACACTGGTGCCGAGGTCTCGCCGCTGGTGCTTACCTCGGACTGGCGATGGCTCGTCCGCGGTAGTCGGCACTGACGGTTTCGTCTTCATGGCGCCTTGAGCACTATCGCCCTTAATCCCTGCTCCCGGCACCCTCCTGGCCGTAATATTTGAGATCGGTGGCGCCTCACAAACGTTCGACTCTTTTTCTTTCCCCTCTCCCGACAAACCACTCGAGGCCTTCTCACGCCACTCGTCGCTTCTGCCCGCTTTCTCCTCGTGCACCCTTCTCGCTTCCTTGTCGGTTCCCCCGGAGACTCCTCCCTCCTCTTCCTGCTCCACCACGTTCCAACCCTGCTGCTGTTGTTGTTGCTGCTGCCGCCGCTGGTGCCGGCGCCTACTGCTGGCGCGCTCGACGGCCTTCCGTCTCCTTCTCCTCTTCTCGAGTCGCCGCCGCCGCTCGGACGCGCAGGCCTCCTTCGCTCGGGTCCTCTCCAGGTGAATCGTGCGCGGGGACGCCCGCCTGCCGATGGTGGTGATGAGGTCGGTCCGTCTGGTGCGGTTGAGGCGGAGACTCTCCGCCAGGGACGGCAGGATGTCGTACACCTCGCTGCAAATCTGCGTTGTGTGTGCGTTTCATACTATTAGCATCTATCGACCGGCTGACCAATGAAACGACGCCATTCTCAGTGCGATTGAACACACAAAATGCTTCTAAAGACCAAGATCTGAGACCCCGGTGAGGGGACATCATGGGGGATGTGTGTGTGTGTCTTCGTGAGTAATATCTCCCTGCTAACCGGCTGATCAATGGAACGACATGCTGGTTGAGTAGAGGTGGCGGCGTCTTTGCTAAAAACGTCTTCTGATGTGCTCCCTGGCTGTCGCTGGTGCTGTGTTCAACAGAGCATGCTTGCCCATCCTCAGAAAAAATCCACCGCCAGGGCTGCACGGCGAGCGTACGTTTCCTCTGCCCATATGCCCTCCCCTCTACCCCCACTATCCCCCGTGTTTCTTTGTTGTCGCTTGCCTTGTGGTGCTCACGCAGCCACTCGTCCGGAACGTTATTGCCGGTTAGGTCGATGTCGGTGAGCGTCTTATTCTTGACCAGCGAGTGCGCGAGCTCTTGCCCCGCGTACTCGTCCAGCTCGTTGGCGGCAAGATCTAACGACGTCAGCGCACGATTGGTGCACAATCCCCTTTTTCCCGGCGAAAAGCGCGTTGCGGCGCAACATCATCGGGCGGGGGGTGCATAAAGGAGGATGTCGCATGACATGAGCCCACCACACAACAAATGACAATTGCAAAGCACGAAAGGACATCAAGGATGGGTGTCGGTTCACTGCATTCATTCGTCGACATAAGCCAACACCCACATGTTCAGTACAGGAGGACAAAGAATGGGCTCAGCAAACGCTCATTCATTCTTGCAAGCGAACGAATGCAACCACAAGGGTGTTTGGCGTGCACCGAATCCCCCCACGTACATGAAGATACCTTTCCCTTCTTCTTAAGAGCGCAAAAAACTCCGCCGCCCACACTCACTGCGCGAGAGTGTAGATGCCCGACTTGACCCCGGCCGGCTCGACCTCGCACCCGCGGAGGCCAAGCGTTTCGAGGCTCGTGTTCTTCCACAGGAACCCGCTCAGCCGCCTCAGTCCCTCCGGCCCGATCGGGTTGTAGGCGAGGTCCAGCGTCTCGATGGCGCCGTTGCGTAGAAGCAGCTGTGCAAGTCTCTTTCCGGTGTGTTTTTTGTTTTCAAACGAACAGCGAGGATCGGGCCACACCGGCATATCATTGCATGCTTCGTTGGTTCACAGCTTTGGTGCTACGCTGGTTTGGCGAGAAATATATACATAAGGAGAGGTAATGGTTGCCGTGCTTATCTTGTTGGCGAGGAAAGTGCATGTTAGGAGAGGCGGTGGGTGGTGAAAGGGGCTTCATGGACATGGTGCTGATATCTGAAAAACATTGTTTGCTTCCCGCCAAAAAGCCGTGATGGGATGAGACAGCAGTTGCAGCGCCGACTCGATTTATAAAGGCGATACAACATGCCTTCATTTGATCCAGTTGTGACGATTTCTACCGCAATGGTCACCGATGAGGAAACGCTAAAGCGTTTCCTCACCTCCGCGGAGTCGGCCAACAGCAAGTTCCGCCGGAGGCTGAGCTTCTTCATGGAGTGGTTCTGCAGCAGGGCTTCGCACAGGCCCTGCGTCCCGTCGTGGCCGATGTCGTTACCATCCAAGATCTGTTGTCAAAGACGACAGGGGGAGAAGTTCATTCACGCAAATTTCCAGCTCTTTGAAGATCGAAATACTGACAACCATCAAAGAGGGAGTACCCAACCCGAGACGGGACTAAAGGGATGAAGTCATTTTCCTCACAATAGAGGAGCAATCAATAACGTCGGCCGGAACACAAGCGCCTACAGAGGTGGACAGTTGTGTTGTTTCCCCTCGGAAGACTCTGCTAGGACGGATGAGTACAGCAGCCAAAGCAACCGCAGGTCGTACCAGCGTTTCAAGGCAGGGGTGGCCCTTCAACCCCTCGGCAAGGTCTTCGGCACCGTCGTCTCCCAGCATGTTGTCAGCTAAAACCAGCTCCCGCAGGCAGGGCACCTGTTTGTCGTTTGAGTCCATTCATGGATCTGTTAACTCCGCTAGATGATCCCGTTGCGCCCAAAAGATAAACCGGTTGATCCATCAGCTCTGGTTGTCCCCTACCCTCGTTCGATCAGTAAATCTGTCCCTAACCCGCACCGTTCTGACGCTACTGCCCACTCTCGAATAACGCCGCCCACCACCAACAAGTTTCTAGGGTGCCCCCCTTCCTTCACCACGCTGACCCTTCGGCCTCTCCCACAAACGTCGGGTCGTGCACGCTTCCCCACCTCACCCTCAATGTCACCCCCCCCCTCCTACCTGACCCCACTGAGCCCCCCCTTCGTCTTCACCGCCTCCCGCAAGCATCTTCCCGAGATGTTCGCCGCCACGGCGGCCGATGCCGTTCTGGGAGAGGCTCAGCCACGAGAGTCGACACCTTGGGTCCCCGAGGGAGACGGCAAGCGCGGCGATGCCCGCACCAGATATTCGGTTGAAGCTCAAGTTCAACTCCTGCTGGGGCAGGGACGTTCGTGGAGTTGGGCCAGCCAAAGGATATTTTCATGAGACTTGTCTATTGTTTCGTTGACGGGAGGGGCGGGGGAGACCAATACCTCATCTCTTGCTGTAGTAAGGATTGGTAGACTAAGCCTCCCGCTTTTGTTGCTGTTGGTGCGGCTCAGACCCAGCTGCGTCTCCTCGCGTGTGATTAGAGGTGCGACGGCTTCGTGTCACATTAGGGCTTCGGGGAAGGAGATGGATGGCGAGGTGGCAAACTTGCCGGTACCTTCTGTCTCGTTTATTTGCCCATTCACTATCGTTGCCGTCACTCGCCTCAACACAGACGTTTTGGCGAAGTGCTAGGGCGAGCGACACCGCGCCGTCGTCGCAGATCTGTTGACGCGAGAGGTTTATTCGCTTCAGGGGGGCTTGCTGGTCCGCCTCGTCCGCAGACTCGGTTTTCGACTCGGTCAGCGGTACCCTCGTCGATGGCGCCGACTGCGTCGCCTCTGTTCTAACCGGTAGGCGCGATGACACGGTTTCTTCTGCTTCTCCCTCGCGGCTTTCTCCTGCATGATGGCTGGCAAAAATAGGGGGGCCTGATGTGGGGAATGCAAGGAGGCATTCGTCTTGCTGTGACTGCCACCGCCGCCTCTGCTGCAAGCTGACCAAGGCGTGCTCCCCCTCCTCCCCCAGGTGCTGGTTCGTGACGGTGACAACGTTGAACAGCTGCTCGCCCTCGTTGCCCTTTTCGCCGTCGACGCCCTTTCGGACCTTACCGCTAGGCTTACCGTTGCCGTTGCCGTTGCCGCCCCCAACGACGGGGAGGGACTCGTCCACCGTCCGGCGGCCGTCCACCATGAAGTAGTACTTGTACGTCCCGGGAGACAGGTAGTGACACGCCTCGTGGCCGATCCGACCCTTTGTCTGGTCCTCGCCCATCCCCTCCTCCTTGAAGCAGTTGAACTCCGCATGAAGCGTTACCTGTGAGGGTACGGTGAGGGTGCGTCAGTGCTAGACTCGGGAGTTTCGGGTAGGGGGATGGACCCAACGTCGGTCATCAGCTCCAACCGGTCTCGCGTACTTTGGTGCTTGGTTTCGGGACAAATCAAGTTTTCGAGACATTCGCTCAGAGGGTTGAGATGAGACTACGGGGGTGAAGGTGGTCGTCAGTCAGCCAATAGATGGCCACGTGTTGATGACGAGTTTCGACCGTTGTGGGTATTGGATGATTTCGTAGTTTTGTTTCGTAATTTCGGGCTTTGATGTTTTTCGTCGTCGATGTTGATGCTTAGTTGATACTGCCGTCAGCGGTTCTGACGAAGGGACGTGAGACGACCCGACGCAATGCAGTTCTGCCTCGTGGATCTACCGCAGCACCTGTTGTGATGACCATCCCTCCCATCGGAACGTAACCTTAGCCCTTGCAAGAGCGTCGTCGGCCGTAAAGACATTGGAGGCCCTCGCTTTCTCCTGAAAGTGCATTGAATATCCATCGAGGGAGGGGAGGAGTAGGAAAGAGGTTACGCATGTGAAATGATGTAAGCTACGGCATTGACCTCGCATCCCCACAAGGAAGGCCGGAGCTAAAACCGACGACATGGATCGCAGAGAACCGAGCGCGAAGCGCCTTGTGGCATACGGATAGTCTCTTGGCGAGTGCAGTGCATCTCAAGTGCTGGCCGGGGTGGCGCCCTCATTCTCAACTTCTCAGGGCAGCCTGTTAATAGCCAAGCACTTTGACTCTCGGCTAGTGTGAGCCGCGGCTTCTTCTTCCTCTGTGAATTGATAGGCATGCGTGAGACCGGTACAATTTACATGGCCTTTATGAAAGGAAACCTCTCGGTGGGTAGCTACGGCGGAACACCCTAAACCACGTCGTTGTCGGTATTGTAGTTGTGGTTCCTTTGTCTCTTTTGAGGAGGGAGTAGTTCGTGAAAAGCGCACTCGCAACAGTTACTGAAGAACACGGAGAGATGGCACCGGATGCGGTCGTTTTCTTGTGTTTTTTTTTCGTGCAGCATGCAAAACATGCTAATTAAATCGTGAATAAAGGTGGCGGATTGCTTCAAGCCACTTTGTTTGCGGTTCGAGCATACCAAGAGCTCCATTCAAGCACGCAATAACCCCACCCCCGCCGGCATCCCTTCTAATCTTTACGCCCAACTTGCTCACGCACTTGCATTAACCGAAGGAGAATGTGCTGAAGCCCCGAGCTGCCTCTCCCTGCCACCTTCTTCACCCCTCGCCTTCTACGAACTCCCCCCCAGTCCGGCGCGAAGCCCCCTCCCGTAACTTCTAGGGGAACCTTCCCTCTCAAATCGGAGGGGTTTATGCCTTCCACCGACTGGTTGTGGAGTTGAGTGCACCATGAGGAAAGCAATTTGAAACAGGTTTTTGAGGGGGGGGTCCATTATGAGGACTTATTGGTTGGTCATGGTAATCGAACGTGACCGTGCCTGTTGCGATTGAACAGACCAGAACGGAGTTCTACTCCAACTCGAACAGCTCTTTGTGCTTTAGCATGGTCAGGCAAATATGTTCGCGCTAGGAGGAGACGGGGTTCTACGCGGTGCAGCGGGTAGAAGTGGTTCGAGAGTGTAATGGTGTAAAATGACTAGAATTAGGGTGGTGCTAACTCGTGTGCAACAGTACTGCACCAAACTGTGAGCTCTCGAGCGCACCAGGAAAGGGGGCCCCTTCATCAGACGCCAGATAGGTGGTGGAGAATTGGGAAATCAGGCGATCTACGAATCATGCCCTAGTAAATCCGCGTTTCATCCTGTGGACTAGGCGAGCTCAGACGTACACGTGTTAGGCTCCCTGTCAGGGCGGGAGTTTTTTGTTCTTAGGGTGGCAGGTTCCCCTCACTTTCTGCCCAGGTGGCAGAATCACATGACACCATGGGGGCGGACTCACTTCGAGCTGTGAAAAAAAACAAAATGTTGAACGGGGGCGGAAGTTGTTACAAGCAACGGTTGTTGAACGGATTTCGTCTACGACGGCCCGTAGAGTACCGAGGTTCCCTTGAGGAAACGCTGATGGAGTAGAAAAGATTGTGCTTACGCTTCGGGCCGGCCAAGCCTCGGTTGAATGGAAACCGTGCAGGAGCTTCAAAAAGTCTCACGAACACCAAAACAGAACCAATTTGTTGCTCTCCATTATTCTTAACGTCGAGAAATATCGTTCACGGTGCACACATCATATGTATTTTGTCCCACCATCGTTCCCAAGCAACGGCAACCCGATTCTTTGTCACCCTGTTCTCGAAGCCTGACATAAACACTGTTCCTGATATTGGGGCTTTGCGGAATGATGCCGTTCTTGAGCGATTGGAACTTCTTGTACTCCGTGTTCGCTGTACTCGGTGGGGCTGTACCTTCACACCTCCAACCTCCTTCGTCGCCTGGGCTCGTCTGTTGCGACATACTCCCTTCGCTGAGGTCCACTTTCCTCCAAGTATCTGCTTCCGAAGAGATTAAATAAGTATTCAAGATATACATAAACAGTTTACCTGTCCTCGCCGGAGCTGTGCACCCCTCCTATCATCGGGGTCTGCCAGCCTCGGGTGCGGTTTGTTGATCCACCTTTTCTCCTCCACCCTCTCAACGTCGCCGCTCCCCATCCCTCCCCAACCGACCCCGCCGTAGAGGATGTAGAAGTTGTCACTAAACACCAATCGTCGTAGCCGCTGCATGATGGTTTTGATGCATCAAAACGCGACGGGAGGGCAAGCACGATAAGGAAAGCACGTTGGAAAGAAAGATGTCGCGACAAAACATAGCGCAGTTCCCGGGAACAGCGGAAAGTGTTTTTGTTGGCCGCAAGGCTGAAACGAAGGGGGCTGTGAGAGGCGCAAGGACATACTTTGCTCGTTCGTGCACTTCCAACGATGTTGCGAACACCACCCATCGCAGTCGGTAGAGGTTATGTGGTGCATTGAAAAATAAGTGGACCGAAGTAGACCGGACAGGGTGCACAGATGGCAACGAGTTGCTTCACCAAGTATGTTGAATTGGTAACCGTGAAGAAGCGAACATAAATCACGACCCAGCGACATGCGTTTGGGTGAAATTGCGAGAGGCTGTGTTGCCAATATATTCTGCAGTTTTAGAATGGAATCGTCGCTGGTCAGCAAGCGGCCCCGCCGCCGACGTCAAGAACTGCAGTTCTTGCAACAGGATGCTACTCTGCAGTACATGACGGAACAACATAGTGATGAAACGCTGGATTTGGTAGAAGGCTTTGAGTTGGCATGAAGTTGGAGTTGGGTCGTCGTCGATCCATTGGTGGAGATGTCGGGTGTTGTCGTTGGATCGCCCGCCGCGGCGAAGAATCAATATAGAGCCCTGAATATTAGAATGATCACGGGATCCCACTCACCACGGTTTGGTGATTATGTACGTGGCACCTCGAGATTCCATATAACCCATGGTGTGGTCTGCTGGTGCGTGATGCCAACACTCAAGGTGCCCTGGAAATTCCGTAAGAGACCCGTCGCGTCTCGTGGTGTTGCAAGAGGTGTTTGTTCGAACTTACATTTTGGCGGAATAACCTCTTGTAGGCGCTTCCAAGCATGATGTATATGGTACCTGAGGTCACTGCTAGGAAGGCACCTTCTTTCGGGCCGTCGGTGCGTCCGGGGATCTGTGCGGCTCATCCGCGGGTGCTCCCTCTGCCGACGGCGCTGCCGTGTGGTCTAGGATTACAGATACCTATGTGGGGCATTGCGAAACGAGGTACCCGTAAAACAAGCCCCCCCGGGGAAGGGTGCGGAGTTGTGGAGTACCAATAGGAGGGAGAGGGATGTGGCGGATAAGGGAGGGAGAGAGTGCGAGAACAGACACGGAACGCAGGCATGAACGGGGGTTTTCGTTCATTCTTGACCGAAGCACGGCTAGGATACGAATGCTGCGTGTTCCGGTGAAACTTCCATGCAGTCATGAACTATCTCAGCGACGACGACGACGACGACAACGACAACGACAGCAACGACAACGACCCATGCGAACCGGATGAAACCGCCGTATGGCCTCTCGCTTTGCCGCCTCCCAGGCCTCGTGGTGCACCTCCTTCCGGGCCGTATGCCTGTGCTGGTCCTTGGCGGAGGCAAACGACTCGCCGCACGTCTCGCAGACGAACCGGGGTGGCCTCGCCAGGCGAAATCGCGCTCGCTCCCGTTTCTCCACCTGAAGAAGGGAAGGAGGAGACCAATTAAGATATCTGGCCCGAGGAGGATAGACGTGCAAGGTGGCGAAGAGGACGGCTACCGCGCATCGTGCATGACAGGGACTCCGGTCCTCCGGCACACTCGTAAAAAAAGCAACCAAGAGGCTTGTTTGCGCGAAGCACGAAAGAAGAGTGGTAGGGTATTCACAGCAGATGCCGCCGCTTGTTGATTTCGCTTGGAAAACGGTGTAGAGGATATGGTTTTACATCGTTAGAGGATACGTTTTACATCGTGCGGAATCGCCCACGCCCATGAATCCCCAACAACACGTTCAGCAACTCGCAACACAACCGAAGTGGCGACGATTGCTCCTAATTTGCTTCACCCTGTGGACAACCAAACCACCCCATCCGACGTTGTACTACACATAAACACAAGCAAACGTCGCAACCCATGCGCCTCTTTGGTCTGGTGGACCGACGCTATTTTCGATGGTCACGCGCAGGTAGCGAACACGCGCGACCACGTTCACAAGACGCACATACGCAAAGCACCAGAACCTTTGGAAAGTGTGACCAATCATAGCCTCAGCACTTACCAGCGCACCCAAACGCTCCATCCGGAGGTGCGTTCTGCGGGTCTACACGAACGTCGAACCTTACCTGTGCCTGCGCGTGCGCGATGATGATGCGCAGAGCCTCCATGCGAAACGTGAATCCCGTGAGGCCCTTAACCAGCTTGGTCGCGAACAGCCCGACCGTCTTAGTCTTGTCGGCGTTCCTCGCGGCGGAAGCGTTGGCCTTGTACCACTGGTAGAACTGTTAGTAGCGTCGTCGGGGTGCGTACGGGGCTACAAACCGTCATTCATGAGTGGCGTCGTAGTCTTCAACAAGGAGTCAGCCCTGTTACTGGTTCTGCTGCTGTGGAGAGAAGAGGAGAAAATGCAAGCTGTCACGCCATGCCCAGCGCCGTAGTAGTCTGCAGGCCCCCATTTGCCGTGTCGCGTCAATCTCCGAAGATGACGCGACTCTTGGAACAATTCAACGTGGAATGAGACGTAAAGAAACGGGGATCACGCTTGATTGAAGGAATAGGAAATGAGTTGAGGGGTACGCGCTTGTTGCTTGCCTTAGACATTAGACCTCTGGCGACGATAACCTTCCAATAAGCAGGTAACGGTACTAGCAGAGACAAGTGCACCCCAACATGGACCACAAATATCGGATTCATTCAATTGCCCAATATTGGTACCTACTGCATCTCCGCAACGTTTGATCCCCTCCCGTCTGCCTGCCTCGGTCACCGCCGCAACATACCGTGGGATTCCGATTACGGATGATACCAGGTTGTATCTACAAGGTGCATACGGCTGTTGCCGAAGCAAACCTATAAACGCAAAAAGTTCGGGCTGTTGATCTCGTCAAGGCGCCATCCAAACCAGCAAACGTCAGCGCCAGTGAGTCCCGAACGCCCCGGTCATTCTCGATTCATCCCGATACTGTTCCTCCGCCTCGCCTGACCTCATGCCGATGGACCAAGGTCCAAAAGGTTGACTTTATATATTTCTCCATGTTGCCAGCTGGAGACGATCCTAACGTTTCCTTCCCTACCTTACGGCAACGAACGTCATACCTCGTCAAAGTCGATCTCTCCGCTCCCATCGGTGTCGATTTCTTGCATCAGCTCCTTGAGCTGCGGCTTCTTCATGGGGATGCACATCTCCTGCAACAGCGCCTGCTCGCAACACGAGGGGTAGGATAACGACGGGGGGATGGCGAGGGGAGTTCGATGAAGGAGTGGATGATGTTCTCACATGGGCAGAAAGTGCTGTTTTTTCGCGACTCTCCCGGATGCGGAGTGTATGTAAACCGACAAACCTACAACCGAGTGGGGTTCCGAGCCTATCCACATTTCGGTGCCTTTTAGGTGCTCAGCATACCCGTTTTGTGGCCATCCCATCGTGACGCTTCTCTCGTCAACACCACAATGACCCATTCGGGATACAGTAGGGGCGAGACGGAGATACCTTACGTATCGCCAAAATCTGGAGTGTTTCCCGGAATCGTTGCGAGCACGTTGGGGGAAACAGACCATAACGGTTGAGTGTTAGGCCGTCAAGACTCAATAGCCCAAGTATGTAGTCGATTCCTCAACCAGAAAGACGCAATGATTTAGGGGAATATTGGCTCGGTTGACCCCCAAGGATCTGCACAAAGGGATTCGTCATAAGACGCACGAGTTGCACGAGAGGCAGCAGGACAAGCGCTCGGGGCATCATCGCGTCACCTTCATCTCGGAGGTGGAGATGGTGTGGCTGCCGTCAGCGTCGAACATGTCGAACACCTCCCGGGCATTTCTCCTGCGCGACCTCTCCGCGCGCTCCTGTACCTTCCGCTGTTGTATAGCGAAGTGTTTGACATTGTACTGTGTGTTGGTTGCGGTGTAAACTCTCCTTCTCTTTGCTCATTCCGTTGGCCTCGTATCCCCCGCCCCTGAAAACAGGGATAGTGTTGTCAAGCGCAATTTCTTCTGCCGATTGGTGCTACCGATGTGTCCGGTCCAAACTAAACCGTGATCCTGGATCAACCAGAATCGCCCTCCATGCACCGATAGGGGCATCGACGCGGTCTTGCTGTTCACGACAATGTGCACAGCACGAATTCTTCCACGCCCTTATCAAAATGTGCCCCGACAGTTCTTTAGGGCTCTGTCCGGTTGTTTTGGTGGTTCACTGGTGGAAGGCTGAGCAACCTGTGCCCCCAACCCCCGACCAAGCCTATTCGAAACAAGTATGTATGGGGCGAAAGAGCTTGGAGTACGGAGGGTTCCCTGGTCAAGCTTGAAAAAAACAGAGGCGAACTACTGTATATTCACTATTAGAATCGGTATCGGCGGATACTACTTTGGGATAATATGGAACTGAAACAGGATGCAACTATAATATCATGGTCCCCAACGCCCGTTCGCCCGCTGACCTGGGAAAATCGAGAACAAAGCAGCAACACTGTATCACCTCCATAGTTGCTTCGGCGACGCCGTCTACTCCATCTGCTGTAGCCGACGAGCGGAGTGATGTCAGCGACAGCTCCTCTCCGTCGGAGTTGTATCCGAGGGCGCTGCACTTGTCCTTCCAGTGCCTCAGGTTTTCCACCACCTCGTCAAGCTCCTTCTTTCCCCCGGGATCATCCTGGGCCGAATTTTGAGGGTTACCAAAGTGGATCTAGAGCCGAACACGACGATAGAGAGGCTCGCCTCATCTTTCCTTTGACTGACAATCTGCTCAACATAGCAACTACGCCTCGAGGCGAGCAACCTCGACGTGGCTAGAAGGATTGCCCACTGTCTGTCAAAAAAATGGCAACAGTCTTTCTTTGGTTGCATGTATTTTTTATAAAAAGATGTGAGATTTCGCGGCGGATAGAAGCAGCAGCTCGAAGATTTGGAAGCTTCTCTGGGGGGATAACAAGCTCCTCGTCGGTGGCAGGAGAACATGAACGGCTCTTGATAGCTGGAAGAAACAGATATTTGTCGTTCTTCCGCTCAATTCTGTTTTCCTCCGACAATTATTTTTTTTCTCCCATCATTGGACTCTGTCGTCTGCCCCTCTGGCCCCTATCCTCCAATTCTACTAGCTAGATGACCCAACCGGGGTCACAATGACAACCTCCGAAGACTGGCCATAGTTGTCGGAGCATACGCAGTTTGCAGTTTCTGTGGCGCACACTGCAAGAATGCATTTTCACAACGTGACATGCACCACAGAGAATCATTCTGTCCGACGTCGTCGAAGATTGAGTTTCTCGCATATTCTCACTACAAGGTAGTGCTCACCATGTACTCCATCAGAAGTTGCCTTATCTCCTCCTGCTTGACTTCTACCTCGGTGTTCTCCAGCTCCTGGCGCCGAATCTCCTCACCCTGGAGCCTACCAATGAACAGAGCACGCGCGTGCGTGAAGATTCGCGGCATTTGATGCTGCCGTGGTTCTGATCTCATGAAAGACAGTAGCGCTTGAAAGGACGACTATCCCGTCCAGATATGTGACCCCCGTTTGTAATTTCGTCCCATGTTACTCTCCAAATAAGTAACACACGCCAGATCTAGGCTTCACGTCTACGATTGGACAAGCGTCTCGTCTACATAGTTTCCACTTTTTGTTGCGGAGAGCATTGTTTGGTTGTCCGGCAAACAACGTGTGCTGTGCTCGTATACCGTAATTGTGTGTGTGATGGCACCGGGGTGCGATTGTTTTTGAAATCATTCCTATCTTGGTTTTTTATCGCACCCCGGTGCTATAACACCAATACCGTTACGGAAATGCAACTAATTCATTTCTTTCTAAATTCCCAACGCACCCCCGGTGCGATGGCACCGATGGGTGCGATATGGAAGAAATCACAGTGGCCATGATACGGTGCTGAGTGAATGCACCCCGGTGCGATGACGCCGATAGGTGCGATACTCAAGAAACGAACAGGCGGTACCATGCAACCAGCCCGGAGTGGTGATCAGTGATGAGGTCGAATCCGAGTTTGGGGTGGCGTGTGCCAAAGAGAACAGACGCTGTGGTTCCCTGCTGGGGAAGGTATACGGCACGGTATCGTTTTTATTCCAGCCTCTTTGTTGATCGCAAGCCCCTCTTGTGTTGGCTGGTGCTTCCCTCTGTCTTTGTCTGCCTCAAGGGGAATGGTACCGGTACAACTGTAGTACCGTTTACGAACTCCTGCTTGTTCGGTCAGTTGGAGGTGCGGGATGTGTACTGTGTGCTTGGTTGAGTGAGTGAGTGCATTCGATATACGGATTCCTGTAGAAAAAATGTCCACGACTTTTCTACAGTACTGCGCAAACCACGACGATACGATATACGTGTGTACATGAAATGGCGCCCCAATTGGTACCTGCTAACCGCGTCACATGCCATTCAACACGTGGCCCGGAGGGTACCGGTACCTTGCGGAAGCAAGCAATCTTCAATTTTTCGTCCTTGTTGTTGTTGTATTCACATTGAAAACCGTTCTGATCTCTCTCTACCCAGTACCTTCGCGTGTCCGTACTGATACAACACTCGACGCGGTCGATTCCTGTGGTCGCAGGCTAACTTACCCTAAAAAGATACACTCAAATAAAATGGCCCCGAGGGGTCCGCAAGTCAATAGAAATCAACGACAGATATTCTGGAGTCCCCCACTCCCTCTGCGCGCTATGCGAGGTAACAACTGAGACTAGGGGTCACCATCACGGGCCGGAGAGAATGAGGTACACCCTCTTGGTTCAACCTTGGTACTGCACAACGCAAGCAGAAACAAGGCCATCTGGCAGAGAAAAAGAGAGAGAGAGAAAAAAGAGAATAAAATAAAAGGAAACAGTAAGGAAGGAGAAAATGAAATAAAAAGAGCGAGGACAAAAAGGGACCAGGCCGAAAATAACAAGAAGAAAGAGACAGAAAAAGGCACACGGTGGAGAGACCACAAACGACAAGCAAACACGCAAACATGACCACCAACCAGCGATACATTGAAATGGTACGTCATCACTAGTGGGGGGTTGGTGCAATGGTGGAGCGTTGGGGGGGGGGGGAATTGGCTAAAAGAACTTCAATCCGGCACGTATCGCGCCACTCGGTCCGTCTCTTCTCGTTTGCTTTCTTCCCTCGCCGTGTCACCCGTCTCCTGCCCCCCTCCCACCCCATTGGTTGGTGGCTTGTGGTTTCGTNGAAAGAGACAGAAAAAGGCACACGGTGGAGAGACCACAAACGACAAGCAAACACGCAAACATGACCACCAACCAGCGATACATTGAAATGGTACGTCATCACTAGTGGGGGGTTGGTGCAATGGTGGAGCGTTGGGGGGGGGGGGAATTGGCTAAAAGAACTTCAATCCGGCACGTATCGCGCCACTCGGTCCGTCTCTTCTCGTTTGCTTTCTTCCCTCGCCGTGTCACCCGTCTCCTGCCCCCCTCCCACCCCATTGGTTGGTGGCTTGTGGTTTCGTTTGAGCGCCCGTTACGGCTGGCCTCTCCTTCCTTCTTGTGCCAGGAGGTCAAGAACCTCTCAGCTCCCTGCAGCACCGCCGCATGCCAGGGTACTCCCCCCTCTACCTTCGCGGCTTCCGTCCACTTTAACGTCGGTGCCGTGTCTTTCGGTACCGGGATTCC